GAATAGTCAACTTTTGGTTACAAAGTTGATACATGACACATTAAACTTTGCTATGAAAGTTGTTACAGCAGTTTTCGTTATTTCAGTCTCGAGATACAAATATTGTAAGCCGTAAATTACCTTAAAAACATAAAATTAACTTGAAGCACCTCTAAATCATCATCGATTTTGCTGAAAATTTACACAGAAGTACAAATTAACATGACGAACAGTAATCACGGTTGACCCGTTACATTCGGAACATTTCGTTTAAAATGAATAGGTCTACTACACACGACAAGTAAACTCACCGTTAAAAGCTAGAACAACGAACAAACAAGACGCAAAACATTTTTTTCCTAAAATTTACAATTATTCTAGTTTAAAATTGATGGACAGAGAACAAACACACTAATAAGGACTAGAAATGTAAATGAACACAAACACAAACATTTAACAAACCCTTATTTAACAATAATACTAATTAAATACATATATTGCAGCTAAAAAACTGACATTGCAAACAAACGAGTCGTGCTGTACCAGTCCGAAATCCAGTTTCTGTCCTAACAATACTTTTAGACAGTGTGGATCCGTGAAATCCTTGGCAATCTTAGAGATGAAGCCAAGTTGACGATTAGCCTTTGAAATAATCGGCGATAATTTTGATTTCAATTTGATCTTCAGCTTTGCTCGGGTAAGGGGGTTAGATTTTGATAAGTTCTTTAGTGCTATTGCGATTGCTAAACTCGGCAGACTCGGTGTATGCGGTAATCTTCTGAGTTGGTTTCGATCATATCTTAGCGGTCGGCAGGAGATTGCAGATCAGCTAGCTTCTTCGCCACATCAGGTATACCTCAGGGAAGCCACATGGGACCGTTAATTTTTATACTGTACTTCAACGACGTGCATCTGGTCATCGAAGCTCCTCGGTTATCATATGCAGATGACCTCAAAATCTTCCCACGAATCTGCTCCATTGCTGACTGTCACTTTCTTCAACGTCAACTGAATGTATTCGCTAGTTGGTGCAGGTTAAACAGAATGGTAGTGAACCAGGCCAAATGCTCCGCTATTACGTTCTCACGAAAACAACAACCGATAATATTTAGCTATGACCTGCTTGGCTCGACAATCGAACGCGTGAATCAGGTGAAAGACTTGGGTGTGATCTTGGATTCGCAGCTTTCATTCAAGCAACACATTGCATATGTTGTTGATAAGGCGTCAAGAACTTTAGGGTTCATTTTTAGGATAGCTAAAAACTTCACTAATATCTACTGTCTAAAATCTCTCTATTGTTCGCTTGTTCGATCGATGCTTGAGTATTGTTCAGCGGGTTGGAACCCAAACTACAACAACGGTGCCGAGAGAATTGAATCTGTTCAACGTCGCTTTCTTCGTTTTGCGTTGCGTAGATTGCCTTGGAATGATCCGTTTCGATTACCAAGTTACGAAAGCCGTTGTCAACTTATCGACCTAGAACTTCTCCGGACTAGAAGAGACACAAGCGGAGCCCGAACCGTGGCCGATATCCTACAAGGAAGGACAGATTGTGAGGCAATCCTGAGGCAAATTGACCTGAATGTTCAACCCCGACCGCTTCGTAATAACCTTATGCTAAGACTGCCTCTTCGTCGCACAAATTATGGAGCGTACGGTGCGATTTGCGGACTGCAGAGAACATTCAACAGAGTTGCATCTGTTTTCGACTTTCATCTCTCCCGTGATGCGCTTCGTCGAAAGTTTTCTTCTGTTTTTCGCCGGCAGGAGTTAGGATATTGACTATAAGATATACGTTTTTTAATGTTTTTTATGTTATGACCATGCTTGAATGTATTTTTTTTACCATAGTTGATAAGGTTAAAATCATTGGGGCTTCATCCAGCCTGTTGATGTAAAACAACAATAAAACAACAATAGTGGGAATGACACTGATGAAGATTGCACATTGTAGTCGAAATACGTATCTGTCATGGATACCAAAATTAATTAAGTGGAATTAAATGGAAGATAACCTTTTTTGCTGTTTTATTTAGCATTCCGCTAACAACCCAATTTCATTACTTCATTATAGTCGCTACCAAGCCTTTGGGGATTTTCCTTATTAGAGAGTTGTATAGATTTTTCTCCTTTAGCTTACTTGAATCTTTGGTTTTTATTAGTTAGGTAGGTTCCGATTCAACACATTGTAGTTTCATTTTTATACCTATGATCTTGACTTTTTTACCTAGGGGATGAGTACTTAAGGGGGTTAGATTTTGATAAGTTCTTTAGTGGGAATGACACTGATGAAGACTGCACATTGTAGTCGAAATACGTATCTGTCATGGATACCAAAATTAATTAAGTGGAATTAAATAAAAGATAACCTTTTTTGCTGATTTATTTTATTCTTTAGAAGCTTTTTCTTTATAATATTCTTTTAGAAGCTAACCCTAGACGCTTGTTCGTCGCTTCGCTCCTCAGACTGGAGAAAACACGGGCAGGACAGTAAATCAGAGTAGCTACGCAGTAAAGGGAATTTTTCCAAGGTTTTGCTCCAACATCTAACAAAAACTATTTTCCATGTCAAAACCGTAAAAATTATTACCGATAAGGCTTGGAATTTCAAATACAACTGTGTATCGTGTGATAAGAACCGTACCCGAAGGAAGGAAAGAAATGGTCGTAAAAGTGGTCCAATGGAGAAATGTGCAGAAAACCATGAAGCGTGCTGGGCTACATGTTTACAAGGTGCAAAAAGCCCCAAAACGGAATGAAGCAAAACATCACTGCGAAAACCCGGGCCCGGAAACTTCATACGAAGTTGCTCACTTTGGTCGTGTTGCATCGTGATGGTTGACGAAACATACGTCAAAGCCGACTTCAGTCAACCTCCTGGGCAAGAATATTTCGTTGCCTAGTCTAATTTTGATGTTCGAAAGAAGAAATTATCGAAATTTGCAAAGAAGTTCCTGATCTGGCAGGCGATTTGCGGATGTGGTTAAATAAGCGCTCCGTTCATCACTTCCGCAACAATCAACGGTGCGAATTACACGAAGGAGTGCCTTAAGAAGCGTCTCTTGCCATTCATAAGGAAGCACAAGGGATCAACTCTGTTTTGGCCTGATCTAGCATCCTGCCACTACGCTCGAACCGTGTTGGAGTAGTACCGAGCCAACGGAGTAAATTTTGTGCCAAAAGATATGAACCCACCAAATTCACCGGAACTTCACCCAATTGACAAATTCTGGGCAATTATGAAAACGGATCTTCGCAAATATCCCAAAACTATTAAAACAGAGCTAGAGTTGAAGAAAATTTGGGTAAAAACAACAAAAACACTGGGAAAATCGGTTGTATAAAATTTAATGGGTGGAATGAAAAGGAAGGTGCGGGCATTCGGGATGGGAGATGAAATTGAATAAAACAAATTTTGTAAATAGCACGACGATGGCGTAGTGGTAAGCGTGATTGTCTCTCACCCCAAAAGGCCTGGGTACAATCCCAGTCAGCACCGCCGGGATGTTCTGAGGCATAAAATCTCTGATCACGCCTTCCTTAGCTAGGGAAGTAAAGCTGTTCGGGGACATGAGTTGATGGGTCGATAGGTAGGATCCAGGTGTGGAAGCTGCCTTCCTGGTGTCCGTAGCATCAAACAAAAAAAAATATTTGTAAATCATAAACTCATTACTAGTTTTCATAACCTGAAAATTTCAAGAAAATTCGATAATCGGCTTGATTTTGGTGAGTAAATATGTGTGTGCCATTTTTTATCGAATACACCCTTTAGAATATGTCTATATATACTCAATATATGTTGTTCTGCTGAAATACAGCCGCCAAGAGTCCATATTGTCCATGTAACCTTATTCTTAGCTGCAATTCTCATTAGGGCCAAATACAGAAGCAAGTGCCAAAACAAGCTCATCTACCGAAATACATTGTGATACAGTTGGGCGAATATATAGAATCATGTAGCGTGAGCAGCTGGTACATAAAAAGTGGAAGAGATGTTATTTTTTAATGTAACAGGAAACGTTAGAAAATGGATAATTAGATATGAATAAAAATAGTTTACTAAACTTTCCCGTGCTTTTCTTATGAGCAACTCTTTTATTCATACGACCCAATATTATTTTGAAAAAGTATCGACTTCATTTTTAGATTAAACCGCACCGCTGATAAATTTGCTTTCTGATTTTTCTAAGAATATTGAAAAACAATAGCTGGCCATATCACGTTGTATTTCAGTTTTGTAAAGACAATTTACGTGTAAATGTTTGTAATGGTCGTGACAAAATTCTGGACATAAAAATCCACCCAAATTGATCTTTTAATAGTTTCTTAGTATCAGATTTTTACAATGATGATATTGAAAAAAAAAACAATGTCACTACACGTATCTTTGTTTTGTTTTGATTCAGAGAAAAACGTAGTCTATTCATCTAGTCATAGAAGAAATAGTACAGGCAACGTGATGAGCTATTATCGAAAATCGGTAAACATTTCAGCAAGTTATTGCACAAAATTACAAAAACGCTGTGCATGGTGCTCATGTGAACCATGGACGGGACATTGTTAAAAAAATAAGGCAAAATTTAAACCATCCATAAATAATTCACTCAAGCAATGATAAATTGATTGGTATTTAATCATCGTGAAACACTTGCTACTCCTGGGGTCACATTATGCACGATGATCTAACGACTTTTTCATACATGTTGTTCATATGAAAGTCGTGCAAACAAACAGCGTGCTTTAAACAATTAATTCTCGATCAGAAGGTATCTTTTCGAATAAAATCCGTTAAATCGATGATTTCACCGAGCCAACTATTTTTGAAACTACGGTATGATTCACATGTCATTCACATTTTTAACTTTAACGTACAGGTATAGGTATTTGACCTCCATTCAACTGAAATTTTGTAAAGCAAACATGTCACAAAACACGCTTAAAATAACGCGATTTTGCAGATGTAGGGATTAGCTAATGAACATTGAAAGATCGTTTTAATGATTAATGAACACGCTTACTCTTAAACTGGCCATTTTTAGATGGTTTTGGAACGGTTTTCCCAGTCAACTGATCACACTCGCGAGATAACACTCCACTAGCAATTGCTTCTGCTGCTGCTGCTTTCTGCACTGTCTTGATCGACGACTGAGAAGATACTGAGCATGGAGAATTTTATTGAAAATGTGTTTTGAGAGAATTGCTAATCATTTAGGAATTTTACATAAACGAAGACAGGAATCACACGTTCTATAATAAATACCATGAGGTGAACCCTAGGTACGGGATCTAGGTGTCTTTTTTATCGTATAGGATCTTCCAGTACATAAGCTCTTCCTGTCAGGTGACGCTGGGTGAGAGCGTGTGATTCGACATCAACAGGTTGTTATGATCAACAGTGCAAAAAATGGAGGTTAGTGAAGCTGAAGAGTATCAAAATTGAATGATTGTAGCAACTAATCATGATAAAAACCGCTGAGTGTTGCTGAAATTTTGGAAGCTCTCATGTTGCGCTATTCCACACTTCTCCTAGTTATAGGGTTTAGCATGCGATTTGTTTTCTTTTTATCCCATTGAGATGTCTGTGAATTGTTCTTCAAAAATTGATATTTCCTGATTCTTGACCCAATAATTGAAGACGTGATGTAATCTATTTGTAGTAAATATTCATAAGTTCAACAATATGTTTGTTCAAATTTGTATTCTCTCATAGTGTTTACACAGATCATCATATTATTTTCAACAGACTAATAATTTAAATTTTAAATATTATTTTACGGTATAAAATTGAGGCTAATTTAATGGTTTGAAATCTGTTTAACAAAAATGGTAGCTGTTTATATGTTTATAGCGCTTTGCGAATCTCACCAAAACTGTCTGAAGCTTCAGCACCTACATAAAATTAACTGGTTAAGTTCTTTTAAAAAAAAATAGGTCGACGAATTTAAAAAAAAGGAGGTTACTACTCCAGTTCACACTTATGGATTTATTCGATTTCTATCGTGGGAACTGCAGTCTTCGTTTCATTATGGTGGTTGACAGCAATCAAATCATGTCGAATTATCTTTGAATGGATGAAAATGAAAGCATTTTCCGCTATGTATTTCTTTAAGTACTGGAAATAGAGGAAGCAGCAAAACCAACGCCACTGGGTTAGCAGACTCTATTATCATCTTTGAATGGATAAGTTCAGAACTAATCGTTAATTTGTTATGGATAGGGAAAAAACTGCTTACCCGAGCGCTAATGCTAAACAAATAAGAGTCATCTCAAACAAGTGAACCAACATGCTTTGTTTAAAAAGTTAACTTTTTCAAATACTGATTTATCTTTGGGGACGCACAGGGGGAGATCTCGAACATACTAAAAAAAAGGTGCAAATATGAAGTTCAAGAATATCAAGGTCTTCAGTTTTTAGTTAGATAAATGTACATCTGATAAAGAGGTCGCCAATAAATTAAGATCATTAGAACGCGACTTAATCATTTTAATTTGTACGAGTGACTTAAACGATATTTAAATGATAATTTCTACAAACTTTGCTGAAGATACCACTTGGTAGAAATTGGGAAGAAGCTGCTGCTTAATTAATAACAAAATTAAAAAAAGGTATACTTTATATAGATAAACAAACTGTTACCATAACATACACGTTACTAACAAATTAGAAAAAAATAAATATATGGAAGTACACAAGTCACGGTACTACTTGAAATATGCTCCAGTTTTTAAATTCACCAATGGGATTTAAATGGGTAGGGCTAAAAACTGATGCTCAATAAAACTACTGATGTACAGTACACACTAAGATTTTTTTACAGGAATCAGTATTTTTTTACTGGGTTTTTGAAAGTCGGTAAAAATTCAAATGACCGTTATCCGTAAGGAATCAATGAAATCGACCAATTTTATTTTCTATCGTTAAATGGGGTTCCGCAATTCAAAAACTCAGTAAAACCGTACTGACTCGATTAGTGTGTAGTTTTTGCGAAAAACTACTGAATACGCTAATACTAAGTACTGAATTGACTGTACAATAACAGCTTTATGGTAAATGACTAAAACTCAGTAAAATTGAACACCGAGTATTAAGTACTGATTATGTTTTACTGAAACAGTCATAACAACTTAACTCCAAAATTACTTCTCACACCAGTAAATTGTATTCTTTTACTTCTTCCTCCTGCATTAAAACTCGCGCACTTGACTTCAGGACTTTTTGTGAGAAAACAGCAACATGTTTGTGAAAATCAGTGAAACGACTGGATATATAAAAAAATGAGAATTTTTTCAGTAAGCTAGTAAAAAAATTTTTTTCTACGGGTTCAGTATTTTTTATTAAAAACATAATGTTTATTCTTCAAAAAAACGTCAATGAATATTGGAGAAGGGGCCCTGGTCAACCGTACGACGCAACTTAGTCGCGATGCTCTCACAAGAGCGCTGGACGGCACTGAAATCATTCTCATTTTTTATTGACTGTTTCAGTAAAACATAATCAGTACTGAAAATTCGGTGTTCTATTTTACTGAGTTTTAGTCATTTACCGTAATGCTGTTATTTTACAGTGCAGAAACATTCACGGACTTGGGCAGTTTCTGCACTCCTGCATCGACTTCCAGATGTTCCATTGACTTTGAAGCAAAAACTTTTAATGATCTGTAGTAGAGCTCCAGATTTAGGCACGCAATCTGGTACTCCAAAAAAGCAACCAGCCGGCCAAACCACAAGGAAGCGTTGCTATAGAGCAAATCCAAACCAACAATAAAAAAAATGAACTACTTTGCATAATTTGTGCTGGAATTCGGCCATTTTGACTTGTGCTCATTTTTAAAAATGGTGTATTTCAATAAATCATGGAACGAAAACGACTCTTCCAGTCTTCCAATCAGAATGACGCACGAGACAAGCAATAGGAAAATTGATGTTTTATCAGAAAAAAATACACACAGAAAAGTTGGATATAAATTTTTTTAAAGAGAACAATTAAATATTTTAAATATTTAATTGTTCTCTTTAAGTTTGAAAGTTTATAAATAATGCTAACTTTATAAAATTTGCATAAATTGTATAACATCAAATTAAAACACAAACAATTGATTTTTTCCGGATGATTTCACATTTACACGCCAAACGTCAGAGAAGTCTATATATATATATATATATATATATATTTTTTTTTATCATTATGTATCATTGTTGGTTTTTTCTGTCCTCCGTTTGTTAACCACTCATGCTCGGGATACCTACTTCAGAAGCACTACCGTCGAAAAATCTATAGGTACCTATACATTTATCGCTTGTTTCATACTTTTCCCGCGATGATGATCTTTTGTGCCCTTGAATGATTGATACATGTTTAAGAACTTGACCTGTACCGTATATATGTGGTTAGAGGCAGTGACCGGTTGACTCATAGAAAGGGTAAAGAATAATGCGTCATCGTTCCAAGTACTCTATAGGAACTGAAATCAGCCTCCAGCAAACATGATTAATACTTGTTATTGATGGTAGGCTCCTCCGATTACAACTCATTTATTGGGCTCGTTTTGCGACTGTTTAAAAAATAATAGAGTTTTTGTTTTTGACAGTATTCAATCTAGAATATATTAGATTTCCATTTATTTCCATTTCCATTTCGTCAAGCCAGTGTAGACTACATACAATGATTATTACAATGTTTACTTACATACTATGCATTAATTCTATCCTGTTTTAGCTTAGTTTGTATTTGCTGCTTGGACATAGTGATGTCAATAGTTCCGCAATGCAAATTATATAGGCGCATCATTCGATTGATTGGGCTATTTTTTGCATAGTTTGTTCTGCACGATGTTTCTGAAAATAATTTCCGTGTTCTAAGATATCGACAAGGTGTGTAAAAATTTAATTGTGCGAGAATTTCTGCCGAATCTATGCGCATTGAAATAATGTCGTTGATGAAGAAAAGCATTGCGGCGCTCCTTAAGTGTTTGTATATTTATGAGCATGCAGCGCGCTTCATAAGATGGTAATGGAAACGCAGTCCAATTCAATTTACGTAAAGCATATAAAAGGAATTGTTTTTGGACAGATTCTATGCGTTCTTCGTGTATGGAAATGTATGGATTCCATACTAGGTGGCAGTATTCCAGAATTGGCCTTATATATGTGGTATATAAAAGCTTAATAGTGTATGGGTCTTCGAAATTATGACTGAACCTTTTGATGAAGCCTAGCATTCTGTTTGCTTTCCTAATGATAGTATTATAATGTTCTATAAAAGTTAGTTTGGAGTCTAGGATTACACCTAGATCTCTTACAATTTTGCTTTTTTCTACTATTTGGTTGCCTAATGTTATTTCAATATGCGGTGTTTCAATTTTTCTGCTAAATCCTATTGCAGTACATTTTTTTACGTTCAGTTTAAGTAGACTTTTACTACACCAGGTGTGGAATATATTGATTTCATTCTGGAATTCTTCTGCATCGCTAGAATTACTTATTTCCATAAAGAGCTTCATGTCGTCTGCATATACAAGCAATTTTATTTTTTAAGTATGTAGGAAATGTCGTCTATGTACAAAATAAAAAGAAGTGGGCCTAAATGAGAACCCTGGGGTACCCCAGAGGTGACTGAAATTGGTTCTGAAAGTTTATTTTGAAAGCGAACTATTTGTTTACGATGTGTTAGGTATGATAGAAGCCAATTCAAAAGTCCAGGCTCCATTCTTATTTTCTGCACGCAGAAAAATATATTTTAAACGTAATAATATTTGACGTAAAATCAATAAGAATTTCATTTTGTTTTGGCTGCAAAAAGAAATCATTATTGTTTCAACAATCCAGTATTTTTGTTCCTCAAAACCCATGGATTGTTAAATCAAAAAGAAAATCTTTTCGAATTTACAAGAGCTTTCATGGTTTTGACGTAAGCTGTCAAATTTGGCAGCTGGGTCATCAACAAAAATATGTTTGTTTTTAAAAGAGATTTATTGTTGATGCAATCATATTTATTTTATGAAGTCTGACAATTCACGCAGTAGAAATAAAAATATGTTTATTGAATCAAAAATCCGGAGTGATTTGAGATTTGGGCGTAATTACTTTTGAAAACAAACACGTCAATAACTAATTTCTCTTGAATAAAAGCTCAATCTCACAAACAAACTATACCAAATAATAGAGG